TCAAGATTACAAGCACTGATGTTACTGCTATTATTAAAAGGTATGTGTGATTATATTAATATATTTATTTCTTTTTCCAAAGGTTGCAAAGGTTGAACAATCTGACAATCTGCCAGTGTACAATCCATTACGTGATCTTTTTTTTTATTATTAATTATTTATTTTTAGAAAATAGAAAATTATTTGTATTTGGTATATTATTATTCAATTTAATGGATTTAATTATCAGATCATTTGGAATAAGTTAAATATTAACAAAATATATTTATATTGTGCAAGTTATAATGATGATGATAATAATAATTTTATTTTTTTTATTATCAACTTGTATCCATGGCATTATGATTATTGCCACTACCACCATCATTACCACCACTACTACCACCACTACTATCACTGCCACTACCATCATTACCACCACAACCACCACAACCCTTTAGAGCTTTGTTCTGAAATATTCAAACCTTGCTTGATGTGCTATGCCAAAGGTCTATCATTAATAAATAAATTTCTTTATTATTAATTTTTATTTCTCCAATTCTTCGTATTTTTGTAGGGAACATTTTGGCACAACTGTTGCTGCTGAATTTGCTTTAGTCTGCATACTAGTTGAGTGATAATCTTAAAATAAGTGTGAAGAAAAGAAACACTTCCAACCTAGCATAGAATAACCAATATTTAAGCTAGCCTTTTCTTTTAACTGTCGTTAAAAGTTCCAGTCTGGCTCTAAAAATTTTATTATGGTTGAAAATCATTTACTACATGAAAAATGGAGAATTTTTTTTTTGAAGTGGACAATAATAATTTTATTCGTGTAACGTTTATATTGAATGACACTTGATCTGCAATGTCCCGTGACTATTAAACACTGAGAAGAAGCAGCAAAAGCAATTTTAGGAGAATATTTATTATAATTATTACAATATTATTATTATTATTATTTATTTTTATTATTACAAATGATCTACATTTCACCCAATAAAAAATCCTTACATAAGTGTGCTCAACTATGTTTGTGTTTATACTGATGTGTAACACCCCATTAACTGGTAGGGATGGGAACGGTTTAACCCAAACCGGTTCAACTGGCTGTTTGAAACCGAACCGATGCGGTTTGGTTTACACATTTCAAACCGCGGTTAAACCCCAGTTCAAACTCCGATTTGAAACTGAGCTGGTTACACGT